AGGTTATAGCTAAAGAGCGTGGCATCAATTGAAAATGTACTAACGACTTTTGGCCGTGGATTGCAAGAAGTAACTCATTTAGTCAGCACGCCTCACAAATGGGGGAATTAAGGAAAGTGTAAAGAGCCTTTCTCAAGGAAACAGACAAACAAACAAACAAACAAATGTATGACCAACTGACCGACTCTGATGGTATAGAAGACAGGTGCAGCCGATAAATGAGACGGACAGACAAACAAACAAACAAACAAACAAACGAGTGACCAACTGACCGACTCCGATGGTATAGAAGACAGGTGTAGATGTTAAATGAGACAGAGCTCTCCAACCCCCTCCCCCCAGTGACCAACTGACCCGACTCTGATGGTATAGAAGACAAGTGTAGTCGATAAATGAAACAAACAAACAAACAAACAAATGTATGACCAACTGACCGACTCCGATGGTATAGAAGACAGATGTAGCCGATAAATGAGACAGAAGCTCTCCCCTGGCTGTAAGATGGCGGGGAAGGCTTGTCGATGTTTGGGGCTCTCTAGGCTGATCAGCTGATGGCAGTGTTCCCACTTCACAGAGCTCCTGGGGGAGGAGAGGGCAAAGGCAGACGTTTCAGCTGGAGTCAGAGTTTTAGGGCACTTACAACACAAATGTGAGGGAGCGTGGGGAAATCAGGCACTCATCAAAACAATGAAATAAAAGAAACCGGCATTTTTCTGGGTGCGGGGCAGTTTTTTTCTAATTTTTTTTTTTTCAACACCTATTAGGTCCTTTTAACCCTATCCGTTCACCCTGGGGTCATTTTGTATCCTCATGGGTTCTATTTTTCACATTTTAGAATATTTCTAGTACGAAGATCTCTTTGAAACTTTCAGCATTTCTCAAAAAATCATTTTGACAGACTGCTATGCAAAGTGCACGGATCGGATTAACAAGTAAATTTCCTCTTTGGAAAAAGGTGGCACAGGGTTCCCCACATCCTATGGATACAATAGTAAAACATGACGTGTGGATAGAGTTAAAACGCATTCCTGGGTGTATATTACGGAAAAAGGTTCATTAAGGCACGAAAAATGTAAATTCCTAGGTTCCAATGACACTTGAGCTTTGGAAGTCACTAAACTTTGGCGGCCATTTTCTCACTAATTTTACCTCTCATACCAGGCGACCCCCAACACATTCCATTGCAAATATCTCAACTTCTATTCAAGATAGATGGGTACATTTTTTGCCAAATGCAAAACAAATAAACAAGCTGTAATACGATATTAATAACTCCCTATGTCCAAAAATTGATGAGCGCCTGATTCCATCCAATGTGACACATATTAGTATTAATTAGTTATATAAGAACTAAAGATTACAGATGTTGCAAGAGAGTAACATACGAAGAATAGGAGGAGAGATAAGGCATAAGGCATAAGGTCAATAGATGTATAATTGGAAAGAAGGAGCAAACCCAACAGAGGACCTGCCAACCACTCACAGACAAGAAGATATAAAACAATGTCCAACTACTGGAAAAGCTAAGAAGAAAAAGATTGGTAAGTTATTTAGCGTGTTAAAAAAATTAATGAAAGAAGGAGAAAACAATAGATAAAAAGCTGTTAAACAACCAACCAATCTTCTTCTTCTTAGCCTTCTCTGTGGCTGTTTGTTTTAGTAGAGGTTTTAAGGCGCTCGCAACTGCATAAGGTCATATGAGCGCCAAGTGGTGGATGTCTACAGAGAAGTCCAAAACGGGGAATCAGGCTTACTCTGCTCACCTCTCTAGCTTCAACAGCATAAAATCTACTTCGACTATCAAGGCAGCCGGGAAATAGCCGGTCACAAGAGAGTGACAAACATACAAAAGAAGTAGAGGGGAAATGACGATAGTAAGGATAAGGAAAGAAAAAGCGGCAGTCCCCTGTTACAGTTCAGGCACAGTTATGAGTATGACATTGATAAATCAGCCCATTTACAATTCTACTGAGCATAAAAACATGTTAATATCCACCCTTTGGGAATGACCTTTCTGTACAAAACCACTCCCTGCCACGTACCATTCTGCTTTCCTAAGTTGTTTTGGTTCAAAGCCAGGTTTCTGCGTCTCATTCCCATCTTTTGTTAGGTCTGCTCCTTCCTCTCTTGCCTGCTATCTTTGCTTCAAGAATATGTTTATCGAGTGCATCATAGCATTTCTGCCATACACTGGCAAAAATGCCTTTTCTTTTTCACAGCAGTTCGATAAAAAAAAGCGTTTTATCAGCGTAAACATTTAAAAGAGGTGTTCTTCTAAAATTTGAGCTCTAATTTATTCAAAAACTAGTCGCAGTTTCGCTTTGATTTTTTTTCCACTCAAGTAAGGTAACTGATTAGGCTATCCATTTAGCAAATAAAAAAATTTGGTGCCAAAACTTTAAAATGGCATTTTGTCAGCTCAGGGCAGATTTGATATGCACAACAGAGCTCAATTTTAACTTCCATTTTCTCCCATTGTGTTTTTTTCAACAT